TTAGACACTAATCCAAAACAAATGGTGTGCTAAATCATAAACTTTCCAACTTTATGATGTTTCATGGCTAGAAAGGATCCAAAACCAAAACTCTAACTTATCATCACATTTTGAACTTCATAATACATGCATGTATAGAAGAACAAGGCCTAGATCAAATTTTTATGATTTAATATCCTATTTTACACATGGATATGCACTTCACAAGACCAAGAACATCCCACACTCAAAAGGACTAATTTATGGGACAAAAAGGACATAACTCTGACCATTAACTAGATCTATCAATGGAGGCATAAAGGTACAAACTTTATACCTTCTAAAGATAAATGAGGGAGGAGAACTTCTAGATCCAAGGTTGCTTCAAGCATCTAAGAACATCCACCACCTTCTTCTTTCTTCAAAGGCACTCAAGAACACCTTCTTTTGCTCATAAAGCTCCAACTAGGGTTAGGGTTTCATGGGAGGACGTTTAGGAAGTGGAGTCTGAGAATGGAATGGGTTTGGGTGAGCTAAAAAGCTTAAATAGGGCTTAAAACCCTCAATTTAGGGTTTTGGCACCTGAGTGCATATGCCCTGCATACTCTTAGTTGGACCGGTATACTAGGTTGAGCATTCGCAATTCATATGAGCTAGTACACCCAACATACATCTTGTAGGCCCAACATACTAGGCTAAACCCAGAAACCTTCTAACTTCCGAAGGCCATAACGTTTTTCTAACTCCGATTTCGACGTTCTTTATATCCATGGAAAGGTATTGAAGACCCCCACAATATTATCCAGATATCTTGGACTAAAAACTTCTTGAAAAAAATATCTCACGTAAGGCCCCAGCCTATGACTTTCCCTTTTTTACTCTTCGGCCCAAAACATTATTCAAAGATTAGATCTCTCCACCATCATTACCTCTTCCTCAATGACTAACTTTGCCTCCTTTAGGCCCAAAGCTTTTACAAAATCGACTCAGGACTCTGAATCACAAAATGACCCAGACAGGGTGTTACAAAAGCCTTTTAAACTTTATGGATATATAAGTGATTTTATTTATAATATAATTGTGGACCTATTTTAGTATTGGATTTTGTTTGAATTTATTTTATTTTTATTACTTAATAACTAATATCACCAAATAAAGGAATTTAACTCTTCTGTGAGTACTCCGACACCAGTTCAATTAAAAAAACACTGCCCATCAATTTTCGATATCCCACCATCATTTTGTTATCCCACCTACTAATTTCCGTTATCCCACCATGTGACTATGATTTCAATTCGAAGCTACTCTTTGTGAATGCGACCACTTTAGAAATTTAGAAACCACCGATCTAAAACCCTAATACCATAAAACAACATGAATTCTCAACGTTATCACCACTATTTTCACTTGAGCCACAATAATCAAAAGTTCCTAATACTCTGAAACAACATGAACTTGAATCTTTATCATCACTAACTAAAGCCACGCTATTGGGGTACCATTTCGATTGATACTCATTCCGCTTAGGGTTAATATTGGATTGATGGTTGTTGTCATTTTTTTATCTTGTTAATTATAAACGAGTGCAATATATACAATGTTTGGTTCAAAAAGATAAATCATCTTAGAGTTTGAAAACTTAACAAGTGTACGAAAATGCCTCAAATTTGTCTAAAGATACAACCTGTAACAATAAGTGGTTGCTTTCTTGACATCATTATATGATTTCTGATTAACTCCTTCATTTTTTAAATGCATAGGAGTCCCTGAGTATGATAGAAATAACGTTGTGAGAAACCTCATTTATGGTCCCAGAGGAAAAAAAATATCAATATTGTTAAGTGACTGATGTTTATGATTACATACTTCTATTTTCCTTCTTAATAAGCCCATGAACGTATTTTTTTCTATTACAAGTTACATTTATCAGTGGTTTTAATGGACAAAATTCTTAATAAATAGGGTTAATATGTTGTTTCTTACTAATAATCATTTGACAAGTTGTCCCCTAGTTCTTTCAGGAAATAATTTGATTGCTATATTGACATGTTTTTTTATCAGACTTCCATTTTCATTCATATCTAGTATAACATTCTACTTTCATCTATTGTGGATTACTTTTTTCAATATATTTGTTGGTCTAACTTTTGTTTTTCAATCTAATTATTGGTTTCATTTTTCGTATAACATCCTACTTATATTTCCTGTCCAATAATGGTTTAGTTAGTTTTTGTTTCTTATTCATCTGTTGGTTTTGTTGTTCAATATAACATCATTCTCCCATTTTATATAAAGTAGAAAATAGTGTCCAATGTTTGTTTAGTTTTTTATTTATTTTTCTTTATTCATTTTCATTTCTATTGATATAAAATCCTACTTATATTTTCTGCCCCATAAAGTGGTTGTAGAAATTCATCGTAAATTAGTGAAATGATTTCTTTATTAGGGTATATTAAGTTAAAAAAAATAATCTCGGTTTTATATAAGGGAACCGGGTTGTATTTGCTTAATAAGCCCAATTGTAAAACCGGTTCTATTTGATTTCACCGATAGGACTCGCCCCATAAAAACTCGGTTGCAAATTAAGTCCTTTGTAATATTTAACCGGTCCTTTTAGCTTTTTTGTATTACTTCCAAATGCTTAAAAAAGAAATAGTGCCATTTAGAAAACATGGTATTGCTATTGGAATCCATTCCTGGATCGATTCTAAAATCCCAAAATAAGCATTGTTCTTGCTCTAGGACATAGTCAAGGAAATTTGGCTGGGTAGCAGTTGTTTTTCACTAGTGATATTATTAAAAACAATATAAAATTAATATGAAGAAAGATAAATATATATTTTGAAGTGTTTGATCAATAACCTTTATTATAATATATAAGCTTTACCGTCTTAAAGACTTATAGATTATAGTAATTTTAAATTTTATTCTATTGATAAGTAACTTTTATTATAATATATAAACTTCACGGTCTTAAAGACTTATAGATTATAGTAATTTTAAATTTTATTATACTGTAAATTAGGTATAGTATTAAGTCATGTTTATTCTTAAGTAGGGTTTGCAACCCCATGTGTTGCTGCGGAGAACATGTATTCGTTTGAAAAACATAGTCCGCATGCATGAAAGTGAATACATACAATAAAAAAAAATAAAAAAAATTAAAAAAAAAGTAACAAAATGCTAATTTGTAAAAATTAAAAAAAGAATTTAAAAACAAAGATGTAATAATGAATTTTTTCTTAGATTATTAAGTCTGAAAAAAAAAATCATTTAACAAAATTGTGAATCGAGTTGTAAGAAAATAATTTATCAAGGATTTCTTTTATAAAGCATATAGAAACAAATTTGTAGAAAAGCTAAGGAAAAATTATATAAAAGATTTAAAGTAATTAATAAAACAAATATTATTTGGATCAAAACTGCAAAATAATAAAAGTTGAGGGGATCATAAACTTGGTCTAAAACTGCAAAAACGAAAAGTTGAAAGGTCATACTTGGTCGGGTTAGGTTTCATAAAGATATTTAGTTTAAGCCCAAAGATGTATGTGATTATATGCCTAATTTTGATTCAAATAACTTCATTCATTATTAGATTATTGATACAAACTAAAAAGATTACAAACTAATCGTTTAGTTTTTAGAATCAACATAAAAACCAATATTGGACAAGGACTTGATATCTATAATATAAATTACCTTTTTTCCACTAAAGACAATATTTAGATCCTATAGGCGTGAAAAATCAAACATGCTTTCCAAAAGTTAGACTTTTAGTTCATTGATGTACCAAAAACCCAAAAACAAACAAATAAACTAAAAATCACATTTTTATCACAGTGATACATTTTGTCAAATAGTTGATAGGCATTTAAAAAAAAAAAAAAAAAAAAAAAAACTTTGATATATTGATGTCAATACGATAAGACATCCTAACGCACAAGAACTATTTTTGTTAAACAAAGACAATAATAACAACTACAAGAGAAGCTGAGAAGAACTCGTAATAAGAACTTGGTTCATTGCCAAAATTCATAACAACGTCATCAACCCATCATAAATACGAAAATAAACAAGCATACAAAAGAAATATGCACCGTGTATTATGTTCTTCCCTACCCGCAAACCAAACTACCATATCTATAGTATGTTAAAATCTCTGTAAATCGCATAAATTTTTGATAATTTCAGATGTTAAAATCCCTATAAAAATCATGGTCCAAAAGATGGAATGGAGATTTAATATATCGGTGCCTTGTTCACCAAACAAGACATTTTGGGTATGTTTGGATTAGTTTTTTTACACCTAAAGTGATTTTTAAGAAAAATGGTTATTAATGTAGGGCTCTTAGGATGAGTTATTTTAAAAAGTGTTTGGATAAGAAAATTTGCTTTTTCTGGAGTAAAATGGTTTAAAAAGCTAAAAAACTAGAATTTTTCAGTTTTTTCTTTTTCTATCCAAAAAGCTGTTTTAAAAAGTGTTTTTTAAATACACAAACATTTTTTTAGTTTATTAGCTTTTTGAAAAGCTAGCTATTTTAAAAAGTTATCTCAAACATTCACTTTATAGTTTTAGAGTATAGCCCAAATTAGTTGATGGCCTTATATATTAAAATTTCTTTTGATCTTAAAAAAGGCCTATGTATATTAGTTTTTTTTTCTTTTCTTTTTTTATTTGTATCGTTGGGGGGCACTGCCCCCACTCTTGTCCTCTTAGATCCACTCCTGTGGTTGAGTCGGGTTAATTTTTCGACCCACATGTTTAAAAGAAAAAATAAGTGTGCATGTTTAAACATAATGCCCTAAGACATGTTTAAATTGTAAGGGATATAAAATGCTACAACTTTAAGAATGGACATTTCGTAAAATTCACATTTTGGAACAGTTGTAAATTCATTAAAATCTCAAAATACAAGCACACATTTATTCTCAAATCATATCCTACATGATTCTTTACATCACATCAACATAATTAAAAACATTCCAAAACACACCAATCTATTATTTTAACCTTTCAAAATCTATGAGCATTGGAAGCCGGATGGAGACTTCTTTCCACAATAGTTAAGCAACACGCTCAATGAGACAGGAACATTGAGGTTGATTCCCAAGATATTAGCTTTAATGGCAGTGCAAAGACAGACTGCTGCATCAAGATCTGCGAGGCCAGAAAGGAGGGAACAACATGGTGTCTTTGATGGGGTTCCGATGACTATAGGGAGAAGGTTGTTGAGCAAATTAGCACACACACCCAATTTTAGAGTGTCTTTTGGGCAAGTGGCTTTGGGAGGGTTTGAAGGTGTTGTAGGTGTTGGTGGTTTTGAAGGGGTTGGAGGTTTTGAAGGAGTTGGAGGTTTTGGTGGTGATGTGCAATGGCACCCTGGTGATGGTGGTTTTGGTGGAGGTGGGCAGCCTTTTGGGGTACTATTAGAGGATACAAGAGTGAAGAAAAGAAGGTTTAACGTAAGGAGAAAAGCTGTTGTTGCCAAAGCTCTTGAAGCCATTTTTAATGCTTTAGCTTCTTATAGTTGGAATGTGTTTGTAGTTTGTTTTGTGTAAAGATATACAAAGTACTTACGTTATTTATAGATGGAAATCCTCAGTTGCTTGCCACTAGTTTCATCCCGCTGTTTGATAATCATGCAAGTAGCTTAATATATTTATTCCATTATATTCCTCTAAAAAAAAAATAGTTTCAACGAAAGTGACATGAATTTCATCATAAATGTTCATGAAACCCATCCACATGACGTTTTTGTAAATTCCATTCGTCGTCAAAATTCCATTCGGTGTAAAGAAGAAATGATAGTTACACTTTGTTTTTTTTTAAAAAGTATTTGTACAAAAACATAATAGCAACTTTAATTTTTTATTTCTTAAAAACAGAAATTGCATTACACAGTATTTATATGTTCGATCTAATTAAAGTGAAACATTTAATACATGCATGAGTCTTTTATATAAACTAGTTTTGTGAAGCATTGTTACATCGAAATCAAATTTAGGATTTATAATTATTTTGTATAACATTTTTGGAGCCTAATTTTGGATTTTTTTATAGATATTTATTTGACAAATATTATTAATTTCTGTTCACGTTTATTATGTTAAATGAATATCAATAAAAATCCCAAATTAGGAAACATATATAAATTAACATGCTATTCTGTTCACGTTTAATATAAAAGTACCGTGATTCTGTGAAGTTTGAAATACAGTTTCCGATTTTAAGAAACATATGTAAATTAACATGCTATTATATTTATTAGGTTGCTATATAAAAACTTTTAGAAAAATGTAAGTATTCTTAGACAGTGAAGTATGTACAGAACCAAATCGTTGTCAAACAGGACTTTAATGCAAGTGGGTTAAATCTTTGGATTTCATGCAAGTGGGCTAAATCTTTAGGGGGGGGGGGGGGGGGGTTGTTGTTGTTTCAAACCTGGTAATTTTACATTATTAATAAATATTAAATACTTATTGTTATTTTTAAAAAAGAAAACCCTTAATTCACTTATAAAGCAATCAGGACCATGGATTGTGTTTTATTACTATGTTTTCCACACTTAGATCAAATTACTGACATCATCATTTCCAAATAAAATTCAAACACAATTACATTTAATTATAGAATCTGTAATAATTATAGAATCTTTAAATTTAGTAATTATATTATCAATTGAAACATATCATTCTATTTATATACATGATATAAGTTTCTTTAATTAATATTGTTCCTAATTTAACTTCATTATTTATAGGTTTTCATTTCCAAATTCAAACCCGTTTATATTTTATTTATTTATTTGTTTTTTTTTAAATCTCATTAAACAAAAATATCAATAATTAAGTTATTAACCTATGAAATACAATCTAATCCCATTAAATCAGCAAAATATTTAAGACTCAAAATTAAATTCAATATTATTCATAATTTATCTCACAGTATATCTCACATAAAATGAATCAATTTGAGACAATTGTTTGAATTTTAAAACTTATTAAATAAGAACGTCAATTAATTTGAAGTTTTGAATTAATATAGCTGAAATCTTTTTTTTTTTCCAGATGAATAGCCGAAAATCTCCAAACTGACATCTTAGGATCCTAATTTTTTAGAAGATAATGATTTCCTTATTCAAAAACACCTTATATATACGATTACACTGAAGTGGTTATTCTTACGATTTTAGATTGAGTCCTATGATTTACAGTGTTCTTCTTGAGCAATCTTATTCTCCGGTTCTTTTTCCAAGCTTTTACTTTACAGTGTTCTCCTTATTCTTCTTCAATTTCTTGCATTTCGCAAATAACTCAGTAGGTCTTTACATTTCCCAAAATTCGACTACAAGAAGTCATGGATGCACTTCTTGAATCAATCATCTAAACCGAATTTTATTTGTTAGTTGGATGTAGTGATCAAAATACAAGATTTGTGAAAGCTCATTATTATTTATTAGTGTTAACCTTTAACAAATTATGAAACTAATATTATATTTTTGTTGGTAACATGTTTTTTTGTAATAATTAATTTGATCGGAATATATGTATATGTGATTGGGTGTAACCTGAAAAATCATATTTTAATTTTTATAAGAAAAAAATACTTTGAAATCAACCAAATTACAATGTCTGAATTTGATGTTTATGGTTATGACAATTCACTTTATTTGTAATGTTTATCAAATTATTTGCAGAATTTAATGTTGTCGGTACATGTAACAACTTATTATTGTTTTCAGTTTTACATGACCAATATAAAAAGGACCATATGAGCCTCCATGGGGATTGGTACACCGAACAAAGTTAATTCATAGAGCTACTACACAACATGTTTTAATCAAGAAGTCGCATTATGTTGTGATAAAACAAAGATCACATAGATCATTTATGTTAAAAATTATTGTATTAAAAAACCAAATTGCTCTAATATATATTAAATATTTTTATCTAATAAGTTTGGTTCAAAAACTCTAAAAATGAATCTAACTAACATTTTTTTTTTTATTAAAATTCAACCTAAAACAAAACCACCTATTAATGTGATATATATTTAATTTATGTTCCCGTGTTAAACGCGGGTCATAACCTAGTTTTTCAATCAATCCTCAATCTACATAAAATACAACTATTTATGTTTTTTTTTATTAATTTATTAGTTTTAATATCATTATTTTATAATTTTTCAATTAATATTCTATATGCTATAAATAATTAATATTATTATTATTCATTTTTCTAGAATATAATAAATAATAATTTTATATTATTGATTTAGTTAATATTGTTTTTCTTAACTATTATGATTAATTTACGACTATAAATAGAACTATTGTTTATTATTTATGGACACTACTACTAATATTTAATTTTAAAACGAATCTATTTTATTACTAATTGATTATGGTTTGGAGTTTTTTAATTTATTCATAATTATTAACAGTATTTTCATTATTCTTTTATAACACATTTAAGTATTTTAATCTTTGGTACCAAACAATAACTTAAATTTTATATAGCTCTATTAATTTAAAAGAATAACATATCACTTCATATAACTTTTACAAAATTCAAAAAATTATTCATCACTTTTTTTATAATTTCCAAAAACAGCATTACACTTATAATTTTTACAAATTACAAAAAATAATTCATCACTTTTTTTACAACTTATAATTTCAAATAATAAAACATTACTTCGTTTTTTTGACTTTTACAAAATTCAAAAAATAATTCATCACTTTTTATAGATCTTGTAATTTGAAAAAATAACATATCACTTCAACTATAACTTAAATAAATTTAAAAAAATAATTCATCTCTATATAAATGTCATTTACTACACAATTATACTTACCATTACTCATCTATTTATAATTCTCAATTCCTACTCCTAGAACTTCTGTATCAATTTTCATCAATATAATGACGAGTTTTCAATTAAACGAAGGAAATAAAGTTGTCAATAACTCGTCAGAATTTTCTACAAAAACGGTATTAGCATATATTTTATCTTCATAAATTATCAAATGACATTATGAATTTTGATATATTTAAAATCATTTTTTGATAAAAATAGCTCCTTAAAAATTAAAAAAAAAAACAAAAAAAAAAACTATGTTTATATATATATATATATATATATATATATATATATATATATATATATATATATATATATATATATATATATATATATATATATATATATATATATTAATGTAATGATTAGTATAGTTTAGTGAGTAGTTGAGAATGATTCCCACATTCTCATTCTTTTTTATTTTCTAAATTGAACTTTTATATATATATATATATATATATATATATATATATATATATATATATATATATATTATATATATATATATATATATATATATATATATACATAGGGTTAGATTATTTTGTTTTTACTAAGTATTGTATGCCAGAATGCACAGATCTGGACCAATGGATAAAATTAATCAATGGACATGATTTGAGAATGTATGATATTACAATGGGGTAACATATAGCATATAATCACACAAATTTTAAGCAAAAGGGTATTTTGGACAATTAACTACATTTATAAAAGGAAATTTTCGGATTTTTAGGGATGATTAATTATAACAATACACAATTACAGAACGTGTATGTTACAATATTCATTTTAACATTTTACACATTCATAAACTTTAAATAGCATATTTTCCCCTAAAAAATTTATTTATTTTAACATTTTACAATAAATTTAAATATTTAGTTTTAGTAACGTTTCATAAGTTCTTCAACATTTATTGATTGTTCGAACTTCAAAATCACATCTGAAAGAATTGACTTTGATATTTTTAGAGCAATACCAAAAGTGCTTAATACGTTGATGAAACATCTCAAAACAGTCTGAACAATCAAAAATATGTATGCGTCTCTGTTGCTTTGAATTTTGGTAGTGTTTTCTACTCAAAAGTAATAAACTAAATGTCTTGTGAGTTCAATCTTCCTCAAATCAATTCTCAAAATTGATTACTCATTAAAGTCATACATAATTAAATAACATATTTAATTTTGAAAACCACTTTACAATTTTGCCCTCACATACTCAGTCGTTCGCCAATGTGGAACTAGCCCATTTGGTAGAGGTGGATGCCTTTTAGATAGGAGGTCTTGGGTTCAATCCTAGGCATAGACGAATTACTAACTTGATGAATTTAACATCTAACAACTAACTAACCGTTCAAAAAAAAAAAACATACTCACTTGATGAATTTAACATCTAACAACTAACTGACCGTTCAAAAAAAAAATATTCACTTGATGAATTTAACATCTAACAACTAACTGACCGTTCAAAAAAAAAATATTCACTTGATGAATTTAACATCTAACAACTAACTGACCGTTCAAAAAAAAAAAAAATACTCAGTCGTTGATATTATACGAAAAGATCTCAAACAAATAAGAACCACCATTGTTCCAAAAAAAACACTTCAATTAACTTTCTTTTAGGTGGTTGTTTGATGGTGAACTGAAAATTTATGAAGCGGTATAATTGTAAATTGATAAATATATTAATTTGAAAACATTATAAAATTGAAAAAAAAAAAAAAAAACGTTTAAAATATGATTTTGATAAATATGATATTTTGATGTTTAGAATTGATAAATGTAATATTTTGAATTTATAAAGGATAAATATGATATTTTAGTTTATGGTTGATTAAATACGATATTTTGATGTTTAAGAAATACATATATAAAATTATCCCTTAAAATTATATCTACAAAAATGCAAGGTAGGATAATTTATAAAAAAATATTGCCAAAGTGAAAATCTTGTTAATTTTTATTTTTAATAGTTTCAAAACCTTTTATATATATATATATATATATATATATATATATATATATATATATATATATATATATATATATATATATATATAGAGAGAGAGAGAGAGAGAGAGAGAGAGAGAGAGAGAGAAAGAAAGAGATGATTAGATTATTATATTATATCAATTGTGCGGATATAGATTTTAATATGTATTAATCATTTTAGTTATTTTAATAAAATGATTAATAAATATTATTGAATTAAAAATAATTAAAAAATACCATTTAATTTCACTATAAAGGTGTTTTAATCAATTGAAATAAATTTTAAAAAGGAAAATCTCTGATTTTAGGAGATAATTAATTATCTTGATTTAAAATTTTGATTTTTTAATTAAATCAATTCTAATTCTAACATAGTTTTTAATTATAGCCGATTTTATTCTATCATAATGAAATTATGTTAGAATGATATTTTATATGAATGTCAGGATACATATTTTTGACATAATACATATTTTGATTAAATTAACTTGTTGACATAAATCTTGTGTATGTCACACCCCAGTCAAAAGCAGAATCACCGTGCGATTGACATAAATCGACATAAATCGAATATCACAAACATAACATGTATTGATTAACACAACCACTTAAGGTTTTACAAAATATAGGTCATAATTATATCTTACTTTATTACATGGTTCATGATAAATCTTCAGTAACAGGAAAAGATAGCACAAAATATAATTTATAACAAAAACACAAGATGATGGTCTCATTCTCTTCGTGTGGATTCTGTCTTAATTTCCTGAGAATACTTGTTAAGACACGTCAATGACTTTGTTGGTGAGTTTTACAGGTTTTTGACTCCATAAATCTTTATAAAAAATAAATTTATTTAAATATTTTAGTATAAAATAATGAGAAGCTTTATCCTTTTTAAGACATAAAAATAGCCATTTTCCACCATAAAATTTCCATTCCATGACTGCGTAAATCTTATGAAAACTATTAATCAATAAGTTTATGGTGCCAAATTGTCTTATCTTAATTATTATAATGGATTGTTATATTAGTTAGTTTGAAAACCAACCGAAGATTAGTAAGGCAATTCTTTCTTACTATCCTTAATTCTTATCCGATTCGTGGAGTAATTGATCCATGTATGAATACTATATCGGTTCCATATAAGATTGAGATAATTTCGGGATTTTATAATGAAGTCATATTTTGCACCGACTTCATAATAGGGCGTGCTAAAGTAATTCATCTCGTTATAGCACGTGGTAATGTTCATTGATCTAAATATCAGCGCCTAAATTTGTCCCGTCAGACGGTCGAACCATATTAGATCAATAATATGATACTTATATTTGTTGTTAGTCGTTCATTTTGGATTAACGGTTATAAAATGGAGGGTTTCTACTAAGAAATGAAATCTTAGTTTTCGCCAAAACCAAAAATAGTTCATAAAAAGGAACCTGATCAGTATACTAATTTATAATAGTCGAATTAGGTTTTGACTATTATATGTATTTATCGTTAGGTAACACAACCATCAATGTATTTATGCCTTCTTATAATACTTATTATTTTTCATAAGATTAATATATGTTGTATTGATACTTGAACAAATTTACGAATGTTATCACACCAATTATTCTTATGATACCTCAAATGTATATATAATTGTGTGATCCATTTTGTAATTTATGATTTTTTAAGGTTTCCATTCTCGATGAATTGGCATAAGTAATGACCATCTCGATTTCTGTTAGAATAGTATATGTTTATTGATAAATGACGAAACTGCAATACCATTTTTCCTTTGCCGATAAATACCGTATATTGATATATTGTAATTCGGCATCGTCCTTGTTATAATAGTTAACTAAACATGCATATATAATGCATTAAGACTTTTCTTGATTATATGATTATTACACCACTTATTATCATAATAAGCATGATTAGGATAATTCATACGTTTTCTACTTTTCTTTCGGTATAATAACCCCATAATATCATAAACTTCCATGCTTCATTTATCTTTAGAAAATAACTTATTTTTAATTAATTAAGCATAAAACTATTTAAAAATAAAATAAAATATTATATTTACTTTTATTCATACAAAATACTTAGGCACATACCAATGACATGTTATGTTCCAATATATGTCTATGTAAATCAATTAATTACAACAATACGTTAAAATAATATAATATAAAAAATTATATTATATTTACACATCGACTCATTAGTTGAGATGGTTGATATTATATGGTTTTAATAGATGTCAACATTATATATATTTTTAAATATAAAATGTTTGATATCAACTTTGTATAACAATATTAATTCAAATTTAATAACACCCTATTTCAGTAATATATATATATATATATATATATATATATATATATATATATATATATATATATATATATATAATTGTTTTCACTTATAATTTTAATTTATCCATATAAAATATATATTTCAATGTATATACATCAATAGATTTAAAAATAGTGCATATTATACAAATGAATTTTTATTTTTATTTTTTTGAAACAACCTACAATTTATTAAACTACAATACTTGGTAAGGCACCAAGAGGAAAAAAGTTACAAGCACTTAAACGTAAAACAAATCCAGTCACCTCAATTAATTTCTTTCAAGAAATCAAATATCTTTTTTTTTTTCTTCTATCGTCTTCCTACACTTATGATTATGACACTTGTAATATTAAGTAAAATTAATAAAAAAAAATTTACACTTATCATTATTTAAAAGTAGCAGAAGACGTGACTTCACGACAACTTTGGGGAAGTGGTGGAGTTTAGTGCAAAATGGGGGGATTGTTTGAAGAGGAGAAAAAGTCTCATTCGCATATATTATGTTGGTGATTTTATATCATCAATATTATTTAAGTGTAATACGATTAAATTTGTTGACCAAAAGTGATCTTGTTGAATATTGAACACGTTAAGATGGTGTAGGAGTGCACACTAGTTCAAGTTTTTCAAGATTCAAAGTACATTGTTATTTAGGAGCGAAGCCCGTAAACGAACGGGGTTCCGGGGGCAACGCCCCTGAGAGCGGGGTCCCAAGGGCGGTAGCCCCTGGTGGGGTCCAAGGGGCAGAGCCCCTGGTTGGTTTAGTAGTTTTATGACAGTTTGTAACTGTCTATTGACAGTTTTCAAACAGGAATGATATATCTGTTTTTTGGTCATTTTTCTGGTACATCTTGAAGAACATTTTCACATACATTCTCAGATTTCATTATCTGAATTTCATCCAATTGAGTGTTCGATCTGTACCATCGAAATACTTCAATTTGATAGTGAATCACGACTTTCAGAGAATTCAAGCAATCTATTCATCCCCTATTTTCTAACATATTATGGAGCTGCATGGTTGATATGGAAGCCTGTAAGGCGAGGTATGATTGGATTTTAGAAAAAAATGGGATATCTCCAACAAAGGTGGTTAATAATGTGAAATCCGTAGTTCATTTAGATGTGGATTGATTGGTGTGTTAACCTTTTTATGTAAATATTTTTAGCCATCTCCTCTTTGGCCCCTTCAAGTTCCTTGCTAGAAGTTGGTCTTTATTTATAATATTTATGGGTTCCAAAAAAAGTGGAATGAGATAACAAGAATAAATATAAGCGTATTTAATTTCTCATTTTTAAAAGAATAATTCCCTTCCATAACGTATAATTAAAGTCGGTGTTGCTTCTTTTGTGGTCAACGCTAATGGGAGTTTGACTTTCTTCGTTCTCCTCGATCTTTTCTATTTAATTGTCGCACTAAAAACATGCAAACAACTATATGTTTGTAATCTGAACTTAAGTTTGGTTGGATATAATCACATATCATGTTATAGACTCTTATGATAATATATAAGCAACATATCCTTGAAGAGTTATAGAGTACCATAAATTCAGAATGTATTCTATTGTAAATAAAGTAGATTATTAAGTTACATTTATTTATTTTGTATGTTAGGAGGTTTTTTTGGAGTTGATATTTTTTTTAAAGTCACTAAAATTTCAAAATATAATACACAACTTTATTATGGAATCATATCGTAATTGATTCTTTACATCGTATTAAACATAAGAAAACACATTCCAAAACACAACAATCTATAGTTATAAGCTTTCAAAATCTAGGTGCATTGGAAGCCGGATGGGGACTTCCTTTCACAGTAGTTAAGCAACACGCTTAATGAGATAGGAACATTGAGGTTGATTCCCAAGATATTAGCTTTGATGGCAGTGCAAAGACAGACTGCAGCGTCAAGATCTGCGATGCCGGAAAGGAGGGAACAACATGGTGTCTCGGATGGGCTTCCGATGACTATGGGGAGAAGGTTGTTGAGAACGTTACCACACACACCCAATTTGAGAGTGTCTATTGGGCAAGTGGCTTTAGGAGGGGTTGAAGGCGTTGGAGGTTTTGAAGGTGTTGGAGGTGTTGGAGGTTTTATGGGTGTTGGAGGTGTTGAAGGTTTTGTGGGTGTTGGAGGTTTTGAAGGTGTTGGAGGTGTTGGAGGTTTTATGGGTGTTGGAGGTGTTGAAGGTTTTGTGGGTGTTGGAGGTTTTGAAGGTGTTGGAGGTTTTGGTGGTGATGTACAATGGCATCCTGGTGATGTTGGAGGTTTTGGTGGAGGTGGGCAGCCTTTTGGGGTACTAGTGGAAGATACGAGAGTGAAGAAAAGAAGGTTGATCGTAAGGAGAAAAGCTGTGGTTGCCAAAGCTCTTGAAGCCATTTTTAAAGGTTTTGCTTCTTATAGTTGGAAAGTGTTGTAGTTTGTTTTGTGTAAAGATATGCAAAGTACTTGCAGTATTTATAGATAGAAATAGCTTCATCACTGTTTGATAAATAGCATAGTATATTTATTCATTTTATTAATATTACAAAATTAATTTGAACGAAAATGACATAATTTCATCATATAAATGATTATATATAAAACCCATCAATCTCGAAATTTTTCAAAATTCCATACGGATGTTAAGAAATGTAGGCATTCGTGTTTAGTGAAACATTGTAACATCAAAGTCAACTTTACAATTTATAATTATTTTGGCACTTTGCATCTCAGCCTAATTTGAGACTTTATACAAATACTCATTTGACAAATATCTTTTTTTGGCACCTTTAATATTATTAGATTTGTTGTTATTTTTCATTAATCTCATCGCCAATACTTATTTCCAGAAAACCTTATAAATATAATTTTTTGCAACTAGATGTGTGTCCGCGCAAAATGGGGACGATAAATATCTATTTTGGCGAATAGTTTTCTTAAGGAGAAATGTTTATTAGATTTTATTTTAGTTATTGTGTAAAAACAATTCCTAGTTTTAAATAAAATGATTATGCAAAGTACCGGTGTCTTTTTTGTAAACAACACTAAATTAATACCAATGTCTGGTATATAAGAAATTTAAAATAATTTATATAAACATGAATTAAATATTTTTAAAAGGGTACATTTGATAAAAGAAGTGTTATATGAGAAAAAGATTTTGAATTTAATTATTTGTTTCGCTGTGGTATGCATGATTACGAAAGTACGTATAAAACCAAAATCATTGTCAAAACAAGACAATAGCGTTCCATGCAAGTGGGCACGTGGTGAAAACAAACGGCTGCATGGAGCAATTAAGGATAGACTTGACGGTGTAGTGGTGATTTCCCCGGCGGCAAGTCGAGGTGGACATTGTTACCGGCGGTAGATACCATCCCCGGTGGACTTATCGCCGGCAGCATTACGCCGATGGCAAGCTTTTGACGTCGTTCAAAAAAATGGATCGTTGGAGATCGTACGGTTGCATTTTATGTCCGTTGGAGTGTTTCATTTTTTTTAAAACCAAATAACCGCTATATACAATCATATTTTTACCATTTAATCTAAACAAACTACAAATCTTTTACTCTTAAAATGTCTTCTAACAGCCCAAATTCTTCCGACTCTTCCAACCCAATTGCACTCTTCAGTTACGATCAGTCATCATCACCGACTTACAAAACACACACTACTAGAAAAACAGCATTTTACGACGCTCATTGCGCGTCGTAAAAGGCTCAGACGACGCGCAAATGCGCGTCAAGGAAGGCCCTGACATAAAGAGAGACGACGCGCTTTTGCGTGTCATCTATAGACGACGCTCATTTATGACGCGCATTTACGACACGCATTTACGACACGCAATGTATATCAATGAAGGCGCTGTCATAAAGAAAGACGACACGCATTCGTGTGTCGTAAACTTACGACGCGCATGTTAATGACACGCAATGCGTATCAAGAAAGCCCTTGTCAAGAAAGGTCATGTCATAAATGAAGATGACACACATTTTTGCGTATCATCATTTTAAATGTTTAAAAAAACATATTATTCATAGATTTACTTATTTTCAAATTAAATTTGTATTTAATGTTTCATAATAGAAAATAAAATATCATATACAAAAAATAGAATCCATTGCATAAATTTAATGTCATACAAATAATCGTTCCATGGAAATATAAAACAAATCAATAGAAGCTGTAACAAAAATTTACAAACGAATTATATACGAAAATACAATCCATTGCCCCTTTGCTTATTCAAGATCAACCAGCAAGTAACTAACTAATCTGTACAAATTCACCCTTGTTTCTAATCTTTTTCTTAAATACTTTACAAACATAATTCATCCATAGTACCTGAACTATAGTTGCAGCCTTGTTTCTTCTTCTTCTGAACTCATCTCTTGCAACCATTGCTCTAAGCCTAGTCTGAATAGATACAACAGCTCCTTGTCAATTATGTGAAAAATACAACCGGAGAGTGGCCTACCTTAATAATAGCAACAACTAACAAAGCAGGAATGAAAGAGAAGGCAATACTCACAACAATAGTTGTAGTGAACGTATCTAGGTCCTACAAGATCATACAAATCACTATTTAAATACACACTACATATTAAGGTGTCAATATTCTGATTGCATGTACTTAATATATAAAGACTCCAACAATAAATAGATATGTTATGTTACCTTGAGACACCTTTTAAGGGGATCCAAAAGATAATTACTATTTATTCTTATAAGTTGTAACATCCCGAAATATCAAGAGTAGAGTTGAAGGGCTAAAAGAGTAAATTGGGAAAGAGTGACTCGGCGAGTCCATGTGCGGACTCGGCGAGTAGAGTCGCGACTTGGTCGCGTGTTAAGTGGCCAACTCGGCGAGTCAGTGTAATGGACTCGGCGAGTAGGTGCTGAGTGGAGAAAACCCTAATTCTCGGGGTTGAGCCTTATATAAAGATCATTATGTTTTCCTCCCAGCCTCTTTATCACCCCTTGAGCCCCAGAAAACCCTAAATCACGGAGAAGCACCATTGTTGAGTGGATTGGAGCTTGGAGAAGTAATTGTTGAAGGAATTTTGGGAGATTGAAGGCTTGGAGCAAGGGGCTTTGCTTGGATTCGAATTACATTGCAGTTGGGGCATTTCTTAGAGGTAATATCTCGTTATTGGACTGTTGTTATGTTGTTTCTTCATTTTGGGGTTTGTGGGAATTTGTCTATGGATGTAATGGGAAGACTAGAGGTTAGATCTGAGGTTGCTACCTCAGATCTGGAAGGGAGAAGAATCAGAGAGCATGAAAGTCCCTGTGTTGGAGTGTTTAGTGAAGCTTACATGTCCCAAACCCTAGCCCAATATGCAAACGGCTTAGATCTCCTTGGATTCACGTAAAGTTTGCCACTTTACGTGACGGATGAGTGGTAGGAGACTAGATCTATGTTTTGGAGCAGTTGCATTGCCTGGAATGCTTCTGAATGGATTCAGACCGGTGGTACTCGGCGAGTCACATGGGTGTACTCGACGAGTTGCTTGAAGATGAGCTGGGACTCAGCGAGTTGGAAGAACAACTCGGCGAGTAGGTTAATGATAGCCTTAGACTCGGCGAGTCTGTTCTTGGACTCGGCGAGTCTTGTCGAAGGGTCCCGATATTCTCTGGTTGAGTCGAGAATCGGTGAGTCGAGGGATGACTCGGTGAGTTGTGTGCGAGTGGACTCAGAGTTGTTGGACTCGGCGAGTCTCGGGGTGACTCGACGAGTTAGGTCGCGGATTGAGTGAAGTTCTGATTATGGGAACTCGACGAGTCACAGAGTTAACTCGGCGAGTAGGGTCAGTCAGGGGTTGACTTTGACTGAGGACTTTGATTTTGACCAAGAGTTGGCCATTGACTTTTAGGGTTTGGTCAGCGATGTGGCCTTTGGGCCAAGAGAGGGGTAAAATAGTCTTTTACCCTTAAGAGGGTGCCATGAGTGGATTGATTCTAGTCTCGAGAGTTATATTCATAAGAGTATTTGCCTTACGTGTTAGGCGGTGGCGAGATCGAGATTTAAGTGTGGGGAAATCTGCTTTCTGCTTGCCAGGTGAGTCTTCTCACTATACTTTACCTCGAGTAGGTAACTAGAGTTATGTGATCAGAGTATTTGTATGCCATATGTACATGATGTGTTGTACTGCATTACTTTTATGTGATTTATGTTGTGCATGTTTATAGAGTTGGAACCGGAAGGTTCCCAGAGTTAATTAGAAACTGAGGGTTCATAGAGTTTGGGTGCACGGACCCATAGAGTTATAGCCTCGAGTGGCTAATATGTGCTATGTGTGGCATTTTGGGGAACTCACTAAGCTTTGTGCTTACAGTGTTTTGTGTGATGTTTTTCAGGTTTCTTTCAGTATCACGGGACGGCACCAGCTTGATTGTACACACCAGAGAAAGAGTCATATTTTGGAGGATCCTGGTTTTCTATGAAAGTGAAAATGGATTTATGTTTTGTAATTTGACTATGAATGAGATTTTGAACAAGTGTTTCTAAGTATAAAATGATTATTTTAAATGAAAATTTTGTCTTGAAATTTACGGTGTTACATAAGTCAAAGCATTTAGATAATATTGTATTATATAATACTTAGAATCTTTTTGTCGTGTAACTTCGTAAAACAACAGTTATACACCCACCCACCATAGTATTCATCAATCGTCTAGTTCTTTTTTACTTAAATCCTAAATTTTTATAAATTGTTACCTCAAATATGATTTCATCTTTCTCCACAGGTGAACGAAGTTCTGTGTATATCTTTATATATCTTCTTAGAACCTATAAGTGTTGAACCTGATCAAAAAAATGTAAACATTGAAGATGGAGAATTGAATTACAATTTACAAACCAATTTAGCAAACTTTCACCGGTGACTAAAGCTACTTTCCCGCTGATCTGTCAAAAAATGCTTCATCTCAAAGAGAATGAAGGGATCTCAAAAAGAATGAAGGGGTCTTTCACAGTCTCAAAGAAAATTTTGGCCCTGTCTGTTCCATTCTTTTGTCATTCCATTCCATTCCATTCGAGTTTAAAAAGAAAAAAATAAATTCTTGATTAAAAAAAAGAGTATAGAAGTACCTTGTAAACAGGTCCAAAATCACCCTCCCTGAGCTTAGTAGCTTATTTGTAGGACTAAAGTCATCTGAAAGCTCACAACTACAACCGAAACCAAAATCCATACAATCAAACCAATATTACTCTTCTTGTTATTAAAAGGTGGATTGTTGCTCACGGTAGGGACGAAATCTGTAAAAAAAAAAAGTAAAGGGGGTTGTCTTGTCATTTTGTCAATCAAGAGCAAAAAGTTATGAAAAAACAATTTCATGAAAGAATTTTACTTGGTGTAGCACTGATTTCTGAGATCAGAGGTCCAAAATCTCCTTGAGTAGGTACACAAGTCCGTTTTCCAGTCCATAATAGATGAATCTCAAGGTAGTTATTTAAACCTCAACTGTCACTTCCCTTGAAACATGACTAAATGAACCCCCCTGCTTCCCTTTTAATATTAAAATCTTGAAAAACCCGGTTTCCCTGAATAGTGCCCAATAACTTCAACTAATTCAGGTTCACTCCAGAAAGAAGTTGTTGAAGTAGACCTAAAGTTCATAGTAAATGGTGTGTTAAAAGATCTCAGAGTGTACAGACAGTAAAAAAGTATTAAAAAATAACCTTCTATAATTCTGCAAGAAGAAAGTTAAACATTATCGCCATCTAATGATTATAAAAAACCAAAAATGAGCATACTTTCCCCTTTCTGGCCATACTTTGGGGTAGCTGCGGGGTAGTCTCCAGATGTGAATTTTGGTGAGTCTTGCATGGTTGAACCATAGCCACTTTGCCCTTCTAACATAGAAGGTCCAGCTCCTTTGCTACTTGTAGCTGGAACCTGAAAAGATGACATTAAAATTTATTGAAGCATAATCTAATTCAACATTCTTAACTAATAATTTGATTCTGAACATTTTAATTTAGGTTGAATGTTTTGGATTCAAGTTTGTCATATCCATCTAATATAATGAAGATGTGTGGATTCAATATAGGAGCAGCCCTTCTGGTCATACACGAACTACTGCATCTAAATCAATTAAGTACGTGAGAAGAGCACAAGAACCAAAATAAGTCAACAACACATTCGGAAATGAAAAAGATGTTCTGACTTGATATATACCTGCTCTCACAACCACTTCAATTCCAGATATATACCTGCTCTCACAATTATCAGAGAATAAACTTAAGGATAATGAGCTGATGAAAGTTAGGTAAATTCACAGGTATTTATATATACCTGTGAATTTCGCTGCCACTGGCAATAAAGGTGCTATTGACCCCACCAAAGCAAGAATAAATGACACATTTATGTTGCCTATGGCCCTTATATCTCAAAGGTTTTTCCCATAACCCTTCAACATCCCACATATGAATCTCTTGTATAAATTTATAAGCTCAAGTTTAGAGTAACTAAGGATGTATTTATCACATCTGGAAAACCCTAAGTATACAGACCTCATTCATTTTGTCTTTCATGCATTGGTCTGTTACACATTTTTAAAGTGGTAAAATTAAAAAAGCACTTTGGATAAGTCAAGAAGAAATAATACAGAAATCATGCAAGAAACATCATTACCTCTCTCTTTGTGGGATGCACGTTAACATCAACATGCTCGGGAGGCAAGATAAGTGACATATATATGAAAGGTTTTGATGCTTTGGGTAAAGTTGCAGCATAGATGATTTCAATTTCCCTCTTCAGAGCAGTACATTCGACTAATCTTTTTGTGAAAAAGTGAGGAAAAGTTAGGTTATAATAAGAACCAAAATATCAGGAAGAATGTCAATAAATTTGCACAAGTCAAAATTCAGAAGTTCAAGGGTGTCAATTATCACTCAACCACACTAAAGAAATAAGTGCTAGGGAATATTCACTTTTTCTTTGTTTTTTTTTGTTACTTGTGTGTGGTTTCTCAAATTTATAGGGGAAGGGTTTTGATGGTTTCTCAAAGTTGTGTGATACATAACACATACCATTGATGAAGAGAACCATGGTAGTCTTCTTTGCAGAGTAACTAGAGTCATATATAAAGCCATCCATTTCAAAAACTGAAGTAGATGGATTAGCATCTGAAGCTAGCCTCTATCTTCATCAGACTGCGAGCAACTGAGACTCCATACACAGATATGATTGCATCCAACCTTGTAGACATAGCAACTGAGTGAACATCGGTTGCACCAGCTCCATGCTAAGAATCATATAGTCGATATGTACAAGACATTAAAACCAATATTAAAAAATGTATGCAGTATGCCTCCCAAAATTATGGAAAAAAACAATTATTAGTTTCAGATGCATGCAAAACAATTAGTTAAACTACTCACCTTTCTGCAGAAGAAGCTCACATTTTTATGATGAATGGCAAACCGACAAAGTAGGTCAACAATTTTTGGATAATCATCAGTAGAGTTCTAGAGAGTTTTCCTTCGTGCAATCATGTTATAAAATAAATTCTCAATCTGGTAAAAACACACACATCATCTAATCAAAAGGGGAGTAATGTCACATAATAACAGAGATTTAGTAAGATCAAAATTCACCTGTCAATGAAGCTCATTACCATGGAATTCTCATTTTTTCGATTACTAATCACATATGAATGCCAAGTCGCTGAAAATGGAATGAAGCCATTAGGAATGTCAGTTGGGTTGCTCTGCATTAGCAGATATAATTTATTAGAAAAAGGAATCGATCAGCAAATGATTAGAAAAAAAGATTGAAATAGATAACTGATTACCTGCATTGGTGTTAGGGCTTGTGTTCCCCTTGCTCTTATGCATTTTATACTTGATATTCCTCCCAAATCAATACATTCGTGAAGATACTTTGACGCAACATATCCACAGTGAACAGGCTGTGCAATAATTAAAAAAAAAAAGACTTGGTGAGCAAAAAAGATTATAAGTTCATAGAGATTTCAAGAATATCAGATTTGAGATTACCTTCTCACAAAATTTGCATTCCCCGTAACCGGGTTCGTTCAGGTGGAATCTTTCAAGAATATCAGAATTTTGGATTCGCCATTGGAGCAATCGAAGTGCACATACACATGTTTTATGAAAAACCCTAAGTCGTTGGTGTCTGAAAAAAGACTAGTCGATACCTTGTACCAAAAAACCCTAAATCGTTATAAGATAGGAATGATGCCTGAATCGCTTCCTTGAGAATCACCGAGAACAACTCCGATCAAAACCCTAAATCTTCGAGGAGTTTCAATCTCCATAACATCCGCCGCACACAATAACAGATTCATGAAAGACGGATTTTGTATGTTGATCAGGGCGGCATCAGATGGCAAGACGGTGGTTTTCATGGAGAAATTTTATTTTGAGAACATGTTGAAGGCAATGGAGATGGTATCATCGTTGTGCCGGCCTGAAGAGTCGGGGGTGGGTGAGGGGCGGAGACGATGGAGACATATATTAGAGAATAGATCGAAACGAATGTAGAAGAAGAAAGCGATGTTTAAATTTTTTGGGGATTTCATTTTCCCTCTAGGAGGAGAAGAGAGACGCGCGTTTCTAAAAAAATATATATAAAACGACATTCATAGAAGACGCTCATTTTAGATAAAGTGCTCTCCGTGTTTTTAGTTTTTTTACATTAGACACTAATTTAAGGGCATGCAATAATGCATGACCTAAATCCTTAAATTTTTTGAAGAGATAACACTTTTTTAATGTCACTCTCTTTTGCGTAACATAAATCACTGAGTGTCGTGGTTTGCGCGTCATAAAAGGTTCTTTTTCTTGTAGTGACAAATCGATCTATCAATTTACTCTCAAAATCAAATGCTTGTACGTGGTGTTCCTAGCTACTATTAACAACTCCAAATGTCACAACAATAAGTGTTTCCACCAAACGTCAAAACATTGCCACAACAATTCAAATTTCAATCCTAACAACCACGTACAACACCCCAAACGAAACGCAAACTCAATTCCAATTCCAATCCCAACTGCCATTAACACCCTCAGTCTAAAATCCCTTTCGATTCCGAACCCAAACAAGAAGATCAACCAAAAAGACAAAGGAGGGCCGAAAGTAGTAGATGGAGTCAAAAAGAAAAGACAGAATTAGCGAATTCATAGGTTGACATATCGAAAGATAATGCCATAAGGAAGAACCAATCTCATGATTAGTTTTGGATACGTGTTACTTAGTATCTTTGTAAGGGTATAGTTCAAAGTCAATATTATAGGTCGCATGACCAATGTTACTCAAATGGGCTAATGTAAACAATCTCTTCATGAATTGGAACAAAATTCACACAAACTTTAAAAAACAATGAGATGGCGAAGAAAGAGAGATGAGTTTGTTGAAAAAAACACATGTGCATTCCAAGATGACATGCTAAAGCCTTTTAAATCCATACATATTTGAGATGTAAAAAAATGTTAGATGGAAGGAACTTCAAAGCTATGAAGACATTTCTAATCATCCAAGAAGATGCAAAACATCTTCATATCGAGCTCATAACACATGTCATCGGATGGTAACATCAGCATTGTGTTTTCGAAGAAAAAAGCACTAAAAAAACCAAGTGTTGTCATCACTAGACATAATTGTAAAAATGGCCACTTTCGTTATCAAAATTATGCAGTTTTGACACTAAAAGTATTTGATAGTGCACTAGTAGTCCAATTTTAGATACCTTTTGCATTTTTGATCCAAAAACATTAACATTACAACTTGGTTGTTAATTTTTTTTAAATGATAATTTTATCCTTATAGATCATGACTGCAACCAAAGTATAAGTACCATTTCTACAACTTTACTTTTTAACTATATTCATTTATTAAATATTAGTTTTTTAACTTTTGACCTGTGATAGGTGGTCAAAGGGTTATGGTGAACACAAACAACAAGTTCGATGGTATATTGAGTACAAAAAAAAAGGAAAGAGACCAAATGAGAACAAACTTAATAGTTGGTTACCCTCCTGAGTCATTTTCTCTTTACTCATTTACAGCAAATCCCACATCATCTCCTACTGATATTAATGACTTTATGAGATTCATTCTTGCTTCTCTTCAAACATAACCCACGAAAGAACACTATTCATACACGTACAACTTTGTAATTCACTTGAATATTTATTAGAGGAATCTTGACTAAGCAGGTGCATTTCATGACTACATTTACATTTCCAATCGAATGATTTATCGTATCATGGATTCTAGACAAGTCTACAAACGAGTGGAATCACAAGTGCTGTGATTTTTTAGTTTACTTAGCTTTAAGATCGAATTCATGCGATGAGATACAACATCAATATGTACAATATCATGCTGCTTTTGCAGACATATCACCATAATATACCTTGAGGTAAACGTGTATACTGATAAATATACCTCTCATACACAATCATATCCTTTTGAAGAGAGGTGTTGACAACTAACCACAATATGCATAGCATAGACCATGTTTTAATGAAGTTATCCATCTGAAACGCTCTTCATATACGTTATAGCCAAAGAATGTTGCAATCTTTGATAATTTTGCAACTTTAATTTCATTTAACTTTTTCGGGGAAAATGACTCAGGAGGGTAACCAACTATTGAGTTTGTTCTCATTTGGTCCCTTTCCTTTTTTTTTTATTCAATATATCATCGAATTGTTGTTTATATTCACCATAACCCTTTGACCTGCTATCTCAGGTCAAAAGTCGGTCAAAATGGTTATGATGAACACAAACAACAAGTTCAATGGTATATTGAATACAAAAAAAGAAAAGGAACCAAATGAGTACAAACGTAAAAGTTAATTACCTTCAAGAGTCATTTTCCCTTTACACTATACATTTACAAATATTAAAATTTGTGCTTAAAAAATATTTTGAGGTTGTACTGTTTGCTTTTATATTATTTTAACACTAATATAACAAGAGAATATCGAAGAATTTAGCGACGGATCCAAGGTCAAAGACGGATCAAAGCGATCACAAAGCAAACAAAGCGAAATCTGAGCACGTAATTTCTCAATTTAATAACAATATATACAGATGGATTCATAACAATAATGAGCACTTTGTAGTTCTTCTCTAATTTAAAAAATTAGACTATTTGATTTATCGCTATTTTCATCCATGTTGTGGCCGACACTTATTCCACAACATCCACCCCCACCCCCTTCCTTACAAAAATATACTTTTTTTTTGTCATTCCTACTAATATATGTGCCAATGACATTAAGATCTACCACGTATTTTATGCGGGTGACTCTATAATGGTCAAAGCATATTTTTCAAAACTTCGTTACAATGCTTAATACTTTTACGAAGTGTCGCTGTGTGGGGGTAAATCCAAAATTTATGGTATTAGTGTTTTGCAAGAAGAGGTGATCGGTTTAGCTTACTCCCACCACCTCCCTCAAATTAAAAATGTCGATCTAGTTCCATATGTACAATTCCTCGCAACCATTCCAATCACCGCCTTCTTTAGAAAATGACCGCACATCGATTTCGGGGTACTAACTTCTGAAACAAAATCAAATTAAGTTTCTATAATGAGTGAAAAAAATTCTAATCAATTTTTTCTTTGATCTTTAAAATCCATTACCAATCATCAACAATAACACAAATCCTTTATGCATTTGTAGCACAATACTACTACTACTACTACTACTAATAATAATAATAATAATAATAATAATAATAATAATAATAATAATAAAAGTGTAGGGTGCATTTGATAATTTAGGAAATAGTCATGTGAATAAAATCAAAATATGGGGGTGGAGTTGTTAGCATGTACAAAACTGAGGGACCAAAGTTGCCAGAACCAAAAACTACTTGTCTCCTTCACCGTTAATCTTCTCAATGCCCTCTATTTACCGACATAGGTTTGACTTCCACATTTGGTCATGCACGACTCGTTTTGGTTGAAAGCAAATTGATACCAACCCTTTATAGATGTAACTCCAACCATAAGAAGTCAGACCTTACCCTCATTGAGGCCTAGAACCCAAGAAGGAAGGTTGTGAATCCTAGGACATCATATAGGGTTTCTCTGGGAAGAAGGGCCACCAGAGCTTGATTCAGGTCATCTCCAATTAAGGTAAATGTATAACACCTGTATCCTCAGTATAACTCTTTGAAGTTTAAAATTGTCATTTTTGAATTTTTATGTCCTACGTTGAACGTAGGCTAATCCCCTATGTTGAGCGTAGGACGAAGACGTCATGCGAGGGTTTAATGACCTACGCTAAGCGTAGGTTCATTTACGCTGAGCATAAGTACGCTGCACCAAAACCTTAATTCTCGGGGTTGTGAGCCATATTTAAAGTATGTAACTCCTTGAGGCCCTCTCGATGCCCATCCTCCAACATATTAATCAGTCATCTCAAAACCCTATCCCCCTTGTGAGAGTTTTAAGGCCTTAGAGTGTTCTTGTGTGCATCTTTGAAGGAGAAGTTCATTGGGGAAGCACTTGGGAGCTTCAAGCTTTTTAGATCCAGATTTTGCATCTCATAATCGACCTTGAGAAGGTATAAAGCTTCCATGTTGGTGATCACTCATGTTAGATCTTTTTAGACATGAGTTTTTGTGCTTTTGGCCCCATAACCTTGGTCTTTGTGAGTATGAGGTACTCCAGATCTTTTGAGTGTAATTTCCTGATGTTTTTTAGCTTGTAAATCCATAAAAATGAGAGCTTGGCCACTCTCATCCATCCATGCATGAGTTCACGAGCTAAACATAGTGTTATGGACATAGGGCTTGGTATTTTGCTCTATTTGATCATGCAAAGAGATAAAGCCATAAACATTACCCATTAAGACATGAATTAGATTCAGATATGAGAAATAGGGGATTAGTCTTTTATATTAAAAGCTTATTATGGAAGTTTGGACATCAAAAATATTGTAGCAAAAGACTAATCTCATGTCTTTCTATGAGACATCATGAATCGTGTCTCATATGCTTTGGATATAGGTTCGATTACATGTGCTATAATATTTATCCTTTCTAAATTTTCCAAATGCCTAGGAATTAAGAGGGGAAAAGGTCTGGAATTGGATATGACTAAAATTGATTAAGCAATTGTTGAGGACAATCTAAGGTTTACCAAAGATTGGTTGCTCAGGGACAGTTGGAAGTATGGTGTAAATTTTTGGAAAATGACCGTATTGACATATTCTAAAAAGAGGTAGCTCTTGTTTAGAAGTGATAGTCAGAATGTGAATTTGGAAATGTTTCATAGGTGGAAGTTATCCATTAAATCTATATAAGATTAGAAAACTTAATGCAAGAAGGATGTTCAAAGGAATGTAGTTTGAATTTGAGACTTAGTTTCAATGGAGTTGATCTCCT